ATTTATTACTATTATTATAAGTAAACGGTCTCGATGTTTAAGGTGAACTTATGTGAATGATTTTACCTTACAATATCTTTCTCTCTAAAGGTTAACAGAGTTTTGGCATCTTTAGTTTCTTATTTCCCCTCCATGAAGTTTTGAGTTTTAATGCCTTGGCATCTAAGCATTAGAAGGACTGGAGGATGGGTGCGATTATCGACAAACCACACGGCACCTCGGATGCATTTCCGACGGTTCCTTTCATATAAATTTATACAATTCCTTAACTGTAGCCTCTGTTTAACGCAACAGTAAAATGTGTACTTGGATGAAAAAACGATTCTTCGCGGCAGGGGATCGTATTCCAGGGACCATAGGATTAAGGACTTGCCCGAAACGCTACGTGTACTAGTGGCTGTACAAGAATGTAACAACTCTTGTATATATCTCAAAAAATAAAAAATAAAAGGGGTGACGCCGAGGAAAATAAGACTCTCGTCCCTACCAAAACGAAAACAATTGGGATATCAAATGGAATTAATCCGGCCCTACATTCTACATGGTGCCACACATCAATTCTAGTGGCATACATCTTTGGGCACAAAACAGCAGCATAAATATTTTTTTTATTTAACAATTAAAATATAACAGCGTTGGACATGAAAAATCTGAATACACGAGTCATAGAAAATGGATGTTTATGTATAAAATGGATACCTTTTGTTGAAGCTATTGCTTAAATTAACTGGGGCATTCACAGACCATCGTCCATTCATGCCCTTGTGGGGGGTATGTGCTAGTAATGCCCGTAGGGTGTGCACAGGTAATGCCCCTGTAGTGTGAACAGGAGAGGTGCGTGCATAGGTAATGCCCATTGTGGAGTGCAGACCCTATGGCCAGTAACGAGCACTTGTAAACATCAGTGCATTCCTCTGCAAAGGTTTCCATATAAATACACATGGATGAAAGAGGTTAAGGGCATGAGAGATTTATAAACCATGTTTAAAACATGTTTGTATATAAGAGATCACTTGTAATACATCCATAAAAAGGTACTCTCAGAGTACATTATAAATTGAAATTAAGTTTAAATTACATTTTACTTGGTCTTACTATCTACATGAGCCATGTGGTAATTTTAAAACAAAATAGTATTTAAATATAATTAAACTACCAAGGAGTCATCAGTAAAAGTTATGTACTGAGTAAGTATGGCCACTGGGTAAAGACAATTGAGTACATTTACATTCATTATTAATAATATCTGAGAAAGCTGATTAGTTACATTCTTTCCTAGTAGCAATTTACAATAAAAGTCAGTTCGTTCACACAATTATGTGTTTGTATCTACGATTATGTTACAATCTAATCAAATCACATTCATATTTACCTTTCTACACAACTTCTGACATTCCCAGGAGTGGTGTGTTGTGATCATAAAAAGTTGCCTAAAAGGAATCGTCAGACGTACTCAAGAGTATTTAGTACACAAAGAACAGTCACAAGCACATCACTCACGAGTGAAAGCTAACAACGAGTTAGCTGTTACTCGAGACACGACGAGCGATGGTATTACACTTATTAACTACTCTTGCATATTGCAAAATGTAACGAGTGGTGGGGATGGCCAAATGGGTTTGCCGACACTAGCTAATGAGGCCAGCGGTGCGATGGACCCCTATAACAGACAGAAATGGGGGAGGCTGCGGGCTAAAACCGATAGGAACGGCCCTATAGGATGTTAAGGTTCAGCTACTCGGAGCAAAAGTTTCAAGTAGCACGGGGTATGGTGAGCCTGTAGTGGACTCAGCACTTGCAGCCCAAAAACCCGAATAGAAGCCTGAGACTTATCATAGGCACAGAAAAAGGCTGATTAGATTATATTATGTGTCAGCATAAAGGACCAGACTTTTGGTATAACATGGTTTGCACAACAACAGTACGAAATGCACGAACATATGACGAGAATAGCTTATAACACAAACATTTTACATATAACAAACCTCGGCATGAATTACTTTTAACAATACATGTTACACACAACAAATTTCTCCAACTGTGCCATGAATCAATGAACATATATTTATACAAATGTGCTTTCAGTACTGGCCAGCAAGCACGCATTTAATGTTACATTTTTACTAAAATTATTGCTTAAAACACTAACATTGACATTTCCTTACATTCTATTGGATATTTTGTGTATAAAAAACAATTTACAGCCCCCCTTCTATTACCAATTAATCAGGAACATGTTTTATGGTTGTATATAACGGATATTAATTAATACTGACAATAGGCTAAACGCCTCTATCAACAATGAATGCACTACGCTCCCTTTTTTCACCCAATAAATGTGTCAAGTTTATAACCAATGGACAAATATTGATTTCAAGAAGAGCTTTATGCATATCTTTAATTGTTGAACGTTATGCATTGATTGCCCAGTAAACAATTTTATATTAATACTGGTCGAGGTAATATTATTTAAACAGTCTTAAACAAATTTATTAAGAGTATTAACTCACTAATCATGGACAAATTGACCAGAATTAAATGTAACAAATTATTAACAATAATCTCACAAGAACGTAATAGGCAGTTTAACTAAATTGTGGACGTTGTGATTAAATGAAAACTGAAACATAGCCAGTTTTCTATTTTTGTTATAACTTTTAATTTTGGGGATAACAGAGAGAGATCATCACATTAATTTCTACATGGACGGAAGCCCTGCTGTTGGTCATTAGTCTACCATTCACGGCTCAAAATTAGTATATATCAAATAAAGTATCGGAGATTGCAAATACCTACTTTTTTTAATTAAATGGATATAAGTTCTCGGAGAATGGTATGTCTATTGGAGATGAAAAATCATATCTAAAGTGTGATAAATGATGTAAGTCAACATCATTGTACTTTCATCTACTTATACGATATTTTGTGTTAGGTGTAAGGCCAATTAATACTTGGAGGGTTTTTATGGTCACATTGGGGTTGGTGTATAAGACCTATCGACCGCCTGGTCGAGGACCGGGCCGCGGGACACTAAAGCCCCGAAATCATCTCAAGATAACCGCTGGATGGTTATTTATCGGCACCACAAAAACTTATTACCCAACCCCCAGCAAGTTTATTTCAGTCTTGAACATCGTTCAGGACTAAACTATTTATTCACTAAAGTGAATACACATGTTTACAGACTAATCAATAAATATACTTCACTCCTGAACATAGGCCATCATAAAAGTCTTGGACTATGTTCAAATATACACAGAAAACTTGTGTATAGTTTTGGTGTATACAACCTTTAGATATCGAAGTAAACATATATGTTTACCATGGTACTGATGACGTGCTGCTCAAATGCCCAATATAAATATATAAAAGTCGTATAATGCTGTACTCTTAAGTAAATTACCCAAGAGCAGTCTATCACAAAGGTCCTATACATACAAATATTAATAATAAAATTCACACTGATAATTAACAAAATACAATTATTGCATTAACGTTATTTAGTTGAAAATTCACGGATACTGGACGGTACTGATTACACCATAATAGGTATATAGCACTACATATGTGAAGGGAGACTTCGATAGTTTTATCACGGTAATCGTATAAAAACAACCCGTCCTCTTAAAAAGAACGTCACTTTTGGCTCGTATGCGCATTATGGCCAAATTTGGACGTAATTTGAAATGAAATCGACTCACAAAAGTGACGTACTGTTCCGTTTTCTGTTTGAGTCGTCCGGCCGACTCTGTGAGGTTACAATAGATGACTTTCAATTCACGTTTTTCATAACGTTTTGAAACTTTATGAGAATTTCCTGCCCACCTAACCTATCAGAGGACCCTTAACTTACTGTTGTTGAAAAAAAAATTCCCAAATTTATTTATTTTTTTTTTCATTTTCAGTTTACGTCCAAATTCGGCCATACGGGCAAACGGCCAAAAGCGACGTTCTTTTTAAGAGGACAGGTTGATAAAAAAGGCATCAATCTTGGAGGTCTATTTATCACCATGTGTGACACCAAACAATAAAAAGTTCTAAATATCATTCAAGATGCTAATACGAGAAAAAATGGATACCTACACATAAGTTTCAATTGGTCAATCAATTTGCAGTACTCTATTGTTATCTAATGTTAATGATAGATTGATTTGTAGGTCATTAATGTTTCTTAAGTTGTTTCGTTCATGGTTTTCAGTCAAGTTTATATGCATTCTCAGGTAAAAAAAAAATTTTTACACTATAGTCCGGTAAAACTGTTTACAATCAGATGTTCTTTTAATAAATTGAAGGTAGAATTTTCTTACATGTAAACAGACAATTATTTCAGACAATAAATATATAGTATTTCTACTCGCAGGGGAGAGATCGCCACATATTGTTGATAGGTACTCAATATCTCAAGAAAGATCAAGAATGATTATGCCTATCTACCAAGATGATTGGACAGTCTACTTATAACGCTCACGTTCAAATTGTCACATTAAACTTGCAACAATCCTGACTAGCAATCGATACTGTCTAGCGGACTTCAGACATAACTTTCAACACAAATGTTTTTTCATTTATTTTGGTGTTTGGCTTAAGGCTTATCAACTTTACTCTTAGAGGTATATTAAGACCACAGCAACAACTTACTGCCCAATTCCTTAACTGTAGCCTCTGTTTAACTCAACAGTAAAATGTGTACTTGGTTGTAACAACGATTCTTCGCGGCAGGGGATCGTATTCCAGGGACCATAGGTTTAAGGACTTGCCCGAAACGCTACGCGTACTAGTGGCTGTACAAGAATGTAACAACTCTTGTATATATCTCAAAAAAAATCAGCAAGAATGCTTTAATAATTAGTTCCTGAACCTTGTCAGGAATTAATTATATATATATATATATATATATATATATATATATATATATATATATATATATATATATATATATATATATATATATATATATATATATATATATATATATATATATATATATATATATATATATATATAATGTACTCAAAATAAGCAGAAGTATTTTGACATGAACAACTTGTTTAATTCCAATATCCTTAACTTTTAATTTAAATTAAAAAAATTCACCTTTCCATTCATCAGCATCAGACCTAAAATACTGAAATGTCAAATAAAAACCAAACCGCAAAAGAAGAACCTTGAACTGAACATTGTCACTACAGAAAATAAAATAATATATACAACTAAGAGATTGAAACAATGAACTTAACTTATGTATATTGACGAAGGTTGTATATTATTACTATGCGACAACGACACCAAATACTAATTCAAATTGCAATCACAATCAAACTGAATAAAAAGCTTATACAAAATAAAGAAATTAAAGATTTAGATTATAATTTCATTAATTATAAAGAACACAACTATTACACAATAATACACACCAAATATTATACTCGATATTTAAATTAAGCAGAAAAAATTGTAAAAATAAAAGTAACTCAAAATGAGCATTAAAAAAATCAAAACAAGGGAAACTAAAAAAAACTTGTATAGGTATTGACGTCTACAATAAGCTTAATTAAAACGAAAACTAAACTATTAAAAAGATTTACATTGTACAGAACTGGACAGCAGAAACATTATTAGTGACCTGAGGCCGCAGCTCTCTGTTTATATATCTGAGAGCTAATATTATAAATACGATTCCATTATCCACAAGTCAGACTAACCATAAGCATGTTTCCAAAAGTTCGGAATCCGACTCTTGCAAAGAATGAATTATTGTCTTATAATAATAATTCCCAATATCTGAAAATGCAACCCGTTCTCGCACTCTCTTATAGTCAATAACTTGCTTATGAATAAGTGCATATGTGACATACTAATTTATTGTGAATATTTGAGTTTACCTTGAAAAGCGAAAATGCTGGCTTAGATAATGGTACGTCAGTCCTCAGAGTCCTCTGTTCTCTAGTATCATAATTGTAAAGTTCCTCCCGAAACGCTATGCGAGTTAGTGGCTTTGCAAGAATGTAAACATATCAATCTCATGTAATCTTACCAACCCATTGTACCTTCTTGTAAATAAAATTATTATTATTCCGAATGGAATTTCTACCATATCCCGTATAACAGCTACAACATTTACACATGTATACAATACTAGAGCACAAAAGAATAGTCACTCGATCATCAAATTTAAAATAAGACCATATACGTATTAACGAAAATAAACTTTAAGTCCACTTCAGGATAATAATGTCAAAAATTCTTTATTTGACTTCTCATGGAGTTACTGATGGAACCATGAAAGGTAACCTGATGTACTTAACATCCCCTTTTACCGTAGTAATCTAACAAGAAGGGCAAAGCGTCTTATATAAGAAATTCCTTATAAGATTATACATCATGTGGCATGGGTAACCATTATTTGAAAAAATTATTTCACTAGAAAATTAATTTCTTGATCAAAGTAGGACCATGAAGTTCATAACACAAAAGCTCTATTTAACGGATTAATCAGGAACAAATTAATTATATTTTAAAAATAGACCTGTGAATGATGCTTTCCTGTATACTTCAATATTAAAACCATTTTCGTTCACCATTAAATTTAAAATTAAGCAAGGCTTTCTGAATTATCCCATTCACACTCTGCAGTAAATCGAATATTATGATGTACATTGAGCTGCTCTCTAAATTTACCGACATGAAAATGACTCTTGAACAACAGTGTCATCTATATATTTCTTATTCACAATCGGTTTAAAATCCAGAGGACATCTATCCAGCCAATTTCTCTCACGGAAGCACAAGAATGCATTAACAACCCCGGGGCTTAATGGAAATTTCATTATTACCCCATCAATTTGTTTACATAAATTATTATTGAACAAAATAGGCTAAATGATAGCTCTAACAAAGATCGAAATGGCTTATTATTGAATCCCGAAACCAAATTAGAGTTAGCAACTTTAAAATTGGGATACTGGAGTCCAAAGGGACTGGGACTCTTAGGACTGGCTTATCATTATCTAAGCCAGCATCAGAGATCATGAATCATTGTCACGAGGAGAACCATTCTGTGCGCAAATCTGACATTTAAATCTTAGATACATCTAAAATCGTAGATACCTAACCTAACCTAAATGGCCAGTATGATTTAGGAATAATGGAATCGTTATATGCCAGCAAGCTGCGGCCTCAATTAAATAATTATGTTTCAGCTGTCCAATTGTATATACTATGTAAACTTTATTAACGATTTGATATTTCGTTTGCTTATTTGCGTTGATGAGTTTAATCTATTCCTTTTTGTTTAGTTTTCCTTGTTTTGAGTTTCGGTGACATTTTAAGCAACGACTCATAATTATTTTTGCTTAATTGAGATACTAATAATCATATTTGGTGTCTAATATAATTTTTCTGATTAATTTCGGTCATAATTATAATTTGAATTACATAGTATCTGCTGATGTTGCTAAATATTTGTCAAATCTTTTGTTGCTTGATCAATTTACGTAAACTGAGTTTTGAGTTCATTTTATTGTGTAATTAGTGTAATTTTTTGTTTTAATCTGTGTTGCAGTAAGCATCCTTGTCCAGTATAATTTTCTTGTTTTGCTGGCGACCTTCCAAATTGACTTTCTGTATAGAAATTATTTTTAATACCAAGATGCTTCGAAACGTGATGCGATTTTCACTAAAAACTTTGAAAATTTTTAAGGTCACCTTTTAGCATGCCAAACTGATAAGTATACTTTTTCCTGAACTTAATCCAGGCCTTAAGTAAACTCAGTATACACAGAAAGACGGGTACGCCTGTCTGTGTATATATATCTCCTTGTAGGTCACGCCTGTCTGTGTATATATATCTCCTTGTAGGTCCTTGGTATTGGGCTTAAGTCCTATTAAGTCATTAAGGCCACCACAACAGCCTATTGACCATTCAGTAAAAACACTTTAGTCTTGAACATAGTCCAGGACTCTCAGTGTATATTTACTAACTATATATCTAACTATTTGTCCACACCTGAAGCTCACATATCTGACTACTGACAGCTGTTAGTGTTGCAACTGACTTTACAACTCTAATTGCACATCCACAACTGCTAAGGTTTGGTGTTGGGCTTAAAGCCGATCAACTTCTGGAGGGTTATTAAGGCCACCACACAGCCTTACAGACCAACCAGCACGTATCCTTCAGCCAAGAACATAGTCCAAAACTTAAATTATTTCTCAGTGTACGTACACCGAGAAGCTGAGTACACCGTGGTACAGATGCCCCACAACTGTCCACCCCTGCAGTTGACAACACCGGCCTGACTGCCAACACAACTGGTACACGGCACTCCGGTGGGCGCGGTTGACTTCTATACAAACCCACAACTGGTGCCACTTGTAGCTCAAATAAAAGTCTGACTTGAATAAGTCTTAGGGAAGGGGGGAAGAAGAGGTCTTTAAAGGCATTTTAAGCGAGTTTATCATACGATAATATCGTGGATCCATCTGAGAAATTTGGTGATTTTCGTGTACATTCCGGGTTGACCGCGACGTCCGCAGCCCTTACCCCAGGAGGTGATCCCGTACAGAACGTGTCTCCCGTTGATGTAACAGGTGAGAGGGCCGCCGGAGTCCCCCGTGCAGGTGTCTATCCGGCCGTCCAGGTTACCGGCGCATACCATGCCGGATGTGACCTCGAAGAGGCCGTATTTGTTCTGTCCGGTGCAGGAGGACATGTTGTAAATCTGCACTCGTCCGGATCTAGGGAGGTCCTGTCCGGGAGAAAAGTAATCTTGAAACATTTGGGACAAAAAGGCATTTGATACTGTTAACTATAACTACCTCTTACATAAACTCCACCATTATGGCGTTTCGGTCCATCCTGGACCATTCTCAAGTCGATTGTGAGAATAATCGACTTGAGAATAGTCCAGGACGGACCAAAACGTCGTCATCCATTCACTTTCTAGTGTGTGGTTTGGTCTCCAGCATTATGGAATCCGTGTCCTTGCCTTAAACTATATCCGATCCTATCTTAGTGACAGACACCAATATGTAGCCATCAATTATATAACCTCTCCTACTCTACATTAACTGTAGGGGTGCCACAGGGCAGCATCCTAGGACCCCCTCCTATTTCTTATATAAATCAATGATCTGCCTAATGTCTCTAACATGCTTAAACCTATATTGTTTGCTGACGATACTACTCTCATCTACTCTGACCGCAACTCACTCATGTTAAATAATGTTGTAAACAATGAATTAAAAAAAGTCCACTTGTGGATGTCAACCAAAAAACTCACACTAAACATAGAAAAGACCTATTGCATCTTATTTGGAAGCAAATTTACAACTGCAATTTAGCTTCAGATGGACAATGTAAACATTAGCAATAAAAATGATGGAAAGTTCCTTGGCCTCTACTTAGACAAGAGACTCAACTTCAGCACCCACATACAACACATAACTAAGAAAGTCTCGAAAACAGTTGGTATACTCTCTAAGATCAGATATTATGTTCCCTACTCTGCTCTCCTCTCCATATATTATGCATTTATCTGTCCCTATCTTATGGTATCTGTGCATGGGGTTCAAACTCTGCAAACCACCTCAAGCCCATCATCACCCAGCAAAAATCTGTTATCAAGACAATAACAAACTCTGCTTTCAGACAACACACAACTCCCCTGTTCAAATCCCTAAACATGCTAAACATAAAGTCACTCCATACATTCTCCTGTGTCAATTACATTTACAAAACCCTTTTCTTAAGTGCAAACCATGCTCTGAAACTCTTCCTGGACAGATGTAATAGAACACATAATCACCACATCAGACATATATATATATATATATATATATATATATATATATATATATATATATATATATATATATATATATATATATATATATATATATATATATATCCCCAGAGTCAAACTTAATCTGTATAAACACTTTATGCAAATAAATGGAATTAGTCTATGGAACTCGCTCCCTAATGAATTGAAAAGCTGTCCACCTTTTGCTTTATTCAAAAATAAAACCAAAAAGGTCCTATTTTCATTTTCATAGTTTCCTACCTAGTGCTATCAATCCACCCCCAATATATTCATCTATGCCATGCAACTTACCATTGTAATCATTGCTGCTATCTTGTATCATATTATACACATAATTTGCTACATTATATCTTGCAATAAACTCAAATTATGTTAAAATGTACCTATGGATTACATTGTACCCTTAAATTTATTTTAATGTAACTACTTTTTTTCTGCCAAATTTCTTATACAATTTTTTTTTTGTATTTACTTGCAATGCGTTTTTGTACCTTCTTGCGATGTATTTTTGTACTTACAATGTACCTGTAATTTTTTTCAAATTTTTCTAGAACTTACCTTCTTTTTTTTTTTTTTTGAGATATATACAAGAGTTGTTACATTCTTGTACAGCCACTAGTACGCGTAGCGTTTCGGGCAAGTCCTTAATCCTATGGTCCCTGGAATACGATCCCCTGCCGCGAAGAATCGTTGTTACATCCAAGTACACATTTTACTGTTGCGTTAAACAGAGGCTACAGTTAAGGATTTGCGCCCAGTAAATCCTCCCCGACCAGGATACGAACCCATGACATAGCGCTCGCGGAACGCCAGGCGAGTGTCTTACCACTACACCACGGAGACTGTTCTTAAGATTGTATGTGAGATTAAGGATCTGCCCGGAACGCCCGGAAGTGACTTTACAAGAATGTAACACTTCAAGTCTCTGTACTCTCATGAACTCAATGTACCTTCTTGTATATAAATAAATAAATAAATAAGATAATGAGATAACATTATCACTATATAATTTACCTGAGGGCCACCATCTTAAGTAGCCTCGAAGGGGGACAGGAAGCCAGCGGCTTCTCAAAGGTTCCATTATTCTCTAATGTGGGTTCCTATTATCGGGGAACCTGTTAGGCTTAACGAGTCTCCCTTTAGGACTAACTACTGTTTTTCTCCAGGATGCAACACACAACAGTTGTCTAACTCACAGGTACCTATTTACTGCTAAGGGAACAAAGGCATCAGCTGTAAGTGAACATTGCCAAAGTGCTTCAGTCCTGCCACGGGGATTAAACCCTGGGCCTCTAGTTGTGATCCCTATTTAGAAACAATTGTATTAAGTTCGAAAAATTTCCATATACTTCATGCAAAATAGAAACTAAGAGTAGAGGTGCTATAGAGCTAGTGAGGAGTAGAGGTGCCATAGAAATAGGGAGGAGTAGAGGTGCAATAGAGCTAGTGAGGAGTAGAGGTGCCATAGGCACAATTAGAGAACACCATGCCTATGGTGTCATAATTAACACCGCGTGTGAACATATCAGAGGTTCACAGATGTTCAATATCTTCCCACCAAATATAAGAAATACTGTCGGAAGAAAATTGGATGTTTTCAAGAGACATTTGGGCAAAGTCCAGCACAAAGTAGGAGTTTACCCAAATATCATAAGAACAGATGAGTTCTGACTCCTGTTAGCAGGCTAAGAGTTTTCCCTTCCCATAGCTCATGGTAAGCCTTACCCACTATAGTTCCCCCTGGAATTCAACCCGCCAATCGTTTAACAACTAAGTACCCAATCACTGCTGGGTGAATAGAGGCATATAGTTAAGGACTGGCACCTAGTCAATGCTCCCCGGCCAGGATACGAACCTAAGCTATATCGCTCGCGAAGCCTGGGGCGAGAGGATTACCACTGCACCACCGTGTAAGCAATAGCCAAACCAATCACGTTATCAAACAAATCTTGCTCTACGAAATCGAAAGCTACGAGGCCACCTCGTAGCCTGGTGGATAGTGCGCAGGACTCGTAATTCTGTGGCGCGGGTTCGATTCCCGCACGAGGCAGAAACAAATGGGCAAAGTTTCTTTCACCCTGAATGCCCCTGTTACCTAGCAGTAAATAGGTACCTGGGTGTTAGTCAGCTGTCACGGGCTGCTTCCTGGGGGTGGAGGCCTGGTCAAGGACCGGGCCGCGGGGACACTAAAGCCCCGAAATCAACTCAAGATAACCTCAAGAAGAAGGCCAGGCTTGAGGTCAACAACTCTCAAAATCCAGTACAGGTAAACTACTTGAGTTCAATGTGGGACTGTAACCTTTCCACCAAAGTCCGTTAGATGGGAATGGGCAAATGAATGCCAAATGAAAACTGATTTGAAATAGTTCACCATAAAAACTAACGTGCCTTAATTTTTAAAAATGGGAATTTTTATCACAAAGAAAATAAGAATGGCTTTGCTGAAAGAAAATGGGGATCCAGTTTCTGTTTCAATATAACTGTAACCATCGGGATCACAGGATCACACGTCAAGCGTGCTGTCCGCTCAGCCACTCACCTAATTGTACTCACCTAATTATGCTTGCGGGGGTTGAGCTCTGGCCCTTTGGTCCCGCCTCTCAACCGTCAATCAACAGGTGTACAGGTTCCTGAGCCTATTGGGCTCTATCATATCTACACATGAAACTGTGTATGGAGTCAGCCTCCACCACATCACTGCCTAATGCATTTCATTTGTCAACCACTCTGACACTAAAAAAGTTCTTTCTAATATCTCTGTGGCTCATTTGGGCACAAATGCCCACCGGCCTTGTGTGTGTAATTACCTAAGTGTAATTACCTAAGTGTAATTACCTAAGTGTAGTTACAGGATGAGAGCTACGCTCGTGGTGTCCCGTCATCCCAGCACTCTTTGTCATATAACGCTTTGAAACTACTGACGGTCTTGGCCTCCACCACCTTCTCACTTAACTTGTTCCAACCGTCTACCACTCTATTTGCGAATGTGAATTTTCTTATATTTCTTCGGCATCTGTGTTTAGCTAGTTTAAATCTATGACCTCTTGTTCTTGAAGTGCCAGGTCTCAGGAAATCCTCCCTGTCGATTTTATCAATCCCTGTTACTATTTTGTATGTAGTGATCATATCACCTCTTTTTCTTCTGTGTGTGTGTGTGTGTGTGTGTGTGTGTGTGTGTGTGTGTGTACCTGGGGTATTGGTGGTGCCCTCTCCGAAGTGGTGCCCCAGCCTGTAATACTGCACTCGCTCAGGCTGCTGTAGCTGGCTTCCTCGCTGGGTAGGCAGGCTGGCTGTACCGACTTGCCGAACCTTTGACAAATCAAGAGCATTAGATTCCATATCTATATATGAATTTTTATAAATTAGTTAAGTTATACATTCATTATCATTCATTATAGTTATACTCATCATTATTCCATGATGAGAACCTATAACGTTTTCATCATGGGTTATAAGATTATATTTAATTCACAATTAACTACATTATTTATTGTGTTTCATTAAATTATTTATTTAAATGATGTAAATATTTTTATGAAATATATGGTTAGGTATTTAAAATTATTAAAATATTTACATAAAATGTCAGTTTCAATGTGCAGTCTTCTAAAATTTACATATATAATAACAATAATTTATATTAACTGAGAATTTTCACACGTTTGTTTGAAAGATATAAACAATATATTTCTAAATAAGTTGAAGGCCGCCTTTCACATAATGAACCCACTTTACTAATAAATCTTATTAAAGCAATATTATTGAACGGTGATGTTTCGATTGCTCACAAGGAAGATATGTATATACAGTGAGAGGTATGGACCCTGCGTCTCTCTATATACACACTGAGAGTCCACTTTAGTCCTGGACTATGTTCATGACTAAAGTGCTCTTGCTGGTTGGTCAGTACGTGCTACTACTGGGGTCTTAATAACCCCTCCAGAGGTTGATAGGTCTTAATAACCCCTCCAGAGGTTGATAGGTCTTAATAACCCCTCCAGAGGTTGATAGGTCTTAATAACCCTCCAGAGGTTGATAGGTCTAGAGCCCATCACCAAGATTGATCTGATACGCCCTATACCTTCCTTTCCTTACTCACTACCCTCCTAAATCGCTACCCCAAGCCTACCTCTCTTTTTGGGCTCATGCTAATCTAGCTCATCAAGCTGGTCATATCCTCCAAGCAATTAATGTAACAAGCATATTTTATTTATAACATAAAGAATTAAATGACATTGGGTACTCAGTAGTTATGTATATATATTTTACAAATGTTATTTTACACAGTAAATTAAACATAGCTCTGACTAAAATTACTTAGATTACTTGGCACCATGCACTAACTACATGCCCGTAACTGACTCTCCAAACACCCTACGTCAACTCCCAACGCCCTGAACACACCTGATTCCCCTGCCGTTTTTCCTCCCAACTTTCAAGACGGCGATGTCGTTGTTGAATTCAACTGTCATGTCGAAGTCGTCGTGCATCCACAGCTTCTCGATCTGGAAGTCCTGTCCAGGAAGACATGTACAGTTAGTGTTGTCCAGAGAGGCATGGATAGTTATATCCAGGGAGGCATGGATAGTTATAGCTAGGGAGGCATGGATAGTTATATCCAGGGAGGCAGGGATAGTTATATCCAGGGAGGCATGGATAGTTATATTCAGGGAGGCATGGATAGTTATATCCAGGGAGGCATGGATAGTTATATCCAGGGAGGCAGGGATAGTTATATCCAGGGAGGCAGGGATAGTTATATCCAGGGAGGCAGGGATAGTTATATCCAGGGAGGCATGGATAGTTATATTCAGGGAGGCATGGATAGTTATATCCAGGGAGGCATGGATAGTTATATCCAGGGAGGCAGGGATAGTTATATCCAGGGAGGCAGGGATAGTTATATCCAGGGAGGCAGGGATAGTTATATCCAGGGAGGCATGGATAGTTATATTCAGGGAGGCATGGATAGTTATATCCAGGGAGGCATGGATAGTTATATCCAGGGAGGCATGGATAGTTATATCCAGGGAGGCAGGGATAGTTATATCCAGGGAGGCATGGATAGTTATATCCAGGGAGGCATGGATAGTTATATCCAGGGAGGCATGGATAGTTATATCCAGGGAGGCATGGATAGTTATATCCAGGGAGGCATGGATAGTTATATCCAGGGAGGCATGGATAGTTATATCCAGGGAGGCATGGATAGTTATATCCAGGGAGGCATGGATAGTTATATCCAGGGAGGCATGGATAGTTATATCCAGGGAGGCATGGATAGTTATATCCAGGGAGGCATGGATGGTCAATCCTGCCCAGAGAGCTGACTCGTATGGACCAATAAGAGCTGCCTCGTATGGATCAATAGTAGCTGCCTCGTACGTGCCAATAGAAGCTGCCTCGTATGTGCCAATAGAAGCTGCCTCGTATGTGCCAATAGAAGCTGCCTCGTATGTGCCAATAGAAGCTGCCTCGTATGTGCCAATAGAAGCTGCCTCGTATGTGCCAATAGAAGCTGCCTCGTATGTGCCAATAGAAGCTGCCTCGTATGGACCAATAGAAGCTGCCTCGTATGTGCCAATAGAAGCTGCCTCGTATGTGCCAATAGAAGCTGCCTCGTATGTGCCAATAGAAGCTGCCTCGTATGTGCCAATAGAAGCTGCCTCGTATGTGCCAATAGAAGCTGCCTCGTATGTGCCAATAGAAGCTGCCTTGTATGGACCAATAAGAGCTGCCTCGTATGGATCAATAGTAGCTGCCTCGTACGTGCCAATAGAAGCTGCCTCGTATGGATCAATAGTAGCTGCCTCGTATGTGCCAATAGAAGCTGCCTCGTATGTGCCAATAGAAGCTGCCTCGTATGGATCAATAGTAGCTGCCTCGTATGTGCCAATAGAAGCTGCCTCGTATGTGCCAATAGAAGCTGCCTCGTATGTGCCAATAGAAGCTGCCTCGTATGTGCCAATAGAAGCTGCCTCGTATGGATCAATAGAAGCTGCCTCGTATGTGCCAATAGAAGCTGCCTCGTATGGACCAATAGGAGCTGCCTCGTATGGACCAATAAGAGCTGCCTCGTATGGATCAATAGTAGCTGCCTCGTATGGACCAATAGAAGCTGCCTCGTATGTGCCAATAGAAGCTGCCTCGTATGTGCCAATAAGTGTCCTATATTATATTCTTACCTCCTGTGCGCCCTCCCTGGTGTTGAGAGAATAGTCTCCCACACGGACGACGTAGCTATTTCTACCGTGGACCTTGAAGCAGTGTGCAGCCGTCAACACGTAGTCCTCAGCGATCACCACTCCCCCACAGTTGTGCTTCAGCTTCCCCTGTGGAATATTGGGGTTGTGGGAGTTGATTGAGTGCTGTGTTGAAGGTGTGGGTTGGATTTTGGAGGAGGGACGTTATTGGTGGGCGTTGGGACAGAGTATGTGGGGGATAGTTTTGTGTTTTGACAATTTTGTTCCTAATAGACATTGGAACATCATCTTTTTCCTTACATAATGAAGTCATCATATGAATCAACATCGATAATGTTCATCGTCTAAATGAACATTAGGATAAAAGTCAAAATGAGTACGATCAAAAACCACTTTAACCTCACCTCCTCCCGCAGCTGCAGAGACACCAGCCATGGGTGTTCCAGGGGCTCCTGCGTCGATCCGCCGATGATCTTAGCGAAGTTGTCGATCAGGAAGGACGACGAGGAAGTGTCGGACCGTCGACCACACCCGTCTGGCAGCGCCGTCTGGAGCCCCAGGTTGACGGCGCCACGTCTGGAACATAAACAAACCTTACTTGATGGGGGTAACAGGTGATCTATTTAATAGGATAACAGGTTTTCTTAATATGATAACAAGTGACCTACTTAATTTGATAACCGGTGACCTACTTAATTTGATAACCGGTGACCTACTTAATTTGATAACCGGTGACCTATTTAATCGGTTAACAAGGTACCTACTTGATCGGATAGCAGGTGACGGAGGCGTCCTCAGCATGGGCACAGTCAGAAGCTCCGGGCTGGGACTTCTTGCACTGCTTTAGATCCGTCTCGGTGCCAAGACAATCCATGGAGTCTAGCCAAACCGGCCCTGTACCTTGACCGTACCTGGCCGCCTTGTGAGCAACCGCGTCTCCGTGATAGCCCAGCATACGGCATATCACCTGTGTGGATACAAGTAACATTATTCTCAAGACGGTTCGTCAGTTGATTTTGAGACCTACCCAACCTTACCCAACCTAACCAAACCTATCCTAAACTAACCCAGCCTAATCCAACCTAACCTAACCCATCCTAAACTAACCTATCTTAAGCTAACCTAACCTTACGCAACCTAACCCATCCTAAACCAACCCATCTTAATCTAACCTAACTTAAACCAACATAACCCAACTCAACCTAAACTGATCCTGCCCAACCTAACCTAATACAGCCTAACTTAAGCTAATGCATCCTAACCTAACGACATCTTCAGTACCGACATTCAGAAAACGATAATTAGAGATAAGCATTAACAGTAAACTTACATAAATCAAGTTCGTTTTCAAAATCACGTTCTAAATTAGATACGATAGTGAGACGGGTCTATAGGCCTCAGCCATACTCCAGATCTGGTTGAGTGGTAGGCCCTCGTTGTGAAATTACAATTTGCTAATTATGTATTTCTAAACACAAAGAGAATTTAAATTCTTTACAAATTACAATGGCATCCTGAAAACAATTCTAGTTGTTAAGGGTAGCAAGGCTTATTCTTACTGAGGTCAGTTATTGACCTTCTCAACTATGAATCCCATAACAGTTATGAAACTCAAGGATATAGCCATTTACTGCTAGGTGAAGGGGGCATCAGTTGAAACAAAACACGCCCAACTGTTTCTGTCCCGCCCGGGAATGAACCCAGATCCATTTGTTGTGGACTAAGGATATACAGGCATAAAAAAAAGCAAGAAATTGACTCCTGCCTATACTTGTAGCAACCATTCAGACTGGCCAGTAGAGCGACGCCCTCGCTTCCTGCTGGGTCGGCGTTCGATCCCCGAAGAACCAAGTGGTTGAACACCGTTCCCCTAGCCCTAACTTACATCTAGAACATAAGAACAAGGTAACTGCAGAAGGCCTATTGGCCCATACGAAGCAAAATCTCTTGATCTCAGCTCCTTGTCTTTGTATCCCTTCCATGTGCTATATAATCCAACCTGTTCTCACACTTTCTTACAGTCAATATTGACTGATTAAATACGTGCATATGTGACATACTAAACATACTAGTTTACCTTGAAAAACTTCATAGAAAACACCGACCTTACCTAACCTTCTTAGTATATTAAGATAAGCATCTTATTGCTTCGTAATTACAATTATTACTTAACCTATACCTATAATAGGTTAAGTAATAATTGTAATTACGAAGCAATAAGAAGCTTATCTTAACATACTAAGAAGGTTAGGTAAGGTCGGTGCTTTCTATGAAGCTTTTCAAGGTAAACTAGTATGTCACATATGCACGTATTTAATAAGTCAATATTGACTATACGAAAGTGCGAGAACGGGTTGTATAATCACACTGGCTTAGTTCTTTATCCTGGTAAATTCTCTAAGTTTCAAAATGCACGTACGTGTTAAAAATACAGAATTTGATATGTTTCAAGAAACTTTATAGCAACCTTGGCCTCATAGTCGTCAAAGTCGTCGTCGCAAATGGTCCCCCACTGGCCCGAGAGCTTGACCTCAACTCGCCCTGAGTTCACTGTTGGACCGTTCGATAACCGCACTTCGATCTGTTGGGAAATAAGGCAATTGATTATAGGCGCTCAGTGACTACCACGATGATCGGTGCTGAAAATCAGAGGACACCTCACCCACCTACCTCATCAGAGCAGAGGACACCCACATCCTCAGAGTGGTCACAATCAGTGACCCCCCACACGACCCCTAAGCATTGACCAAGCCAGTCCTCGTTGCCCTGCGGGAAAAAAAAATCAAGTCATCAGTTCAAATTAATATATAAGTACGTCCTTTACGGGCTCTCCATATTCCGTATTTCTTGGAATTAACAAGTAGGTGAATTTAAAACAACAACATAGGGCTCACTACACCCCAGTTACGTGGAACTTTAGTCTGTTGTTGTTAAAGATTTAGCTACTCAGGACGAAGTGTCCATGTAGCACGGGCTATGGTGAGCCCATAAAACTTTAGTCTGGGTAGCTGAATCTAACACAACAACTATTACAATATACGAATATCTTACCTGAACCATAGTTTATACCGTATATATATATTGATAGGTTCACCCCGCCTTTGTGTGTATGCACCCATCCTCCGAATTGACAGTACGATTTAATACTAAGTATATTTCCTTACTGTCATATATATTACATAATTGCACTTAGGGGGCTGTTACGGTTACCTCCCCATTTATTCTCCATGTTTTATGTTAAAATACTCAGAATTTTAGAATGATGCTTTCAAGTTTGATTAGCTACAAACAAGTTTTATATTTTCGGATTTTTTGTTCAGTTTTATTAAACACTAGAGATTATATACAAATTTTGAAAATATTTTGAATTACTTTACAATTTATTGAAATATTTTAGTTTTGTTTTATTAGTTTTATAAAACTGTAAATATCAATATAGTTATAGGTTAAGTACTAATTGCAATTAAGAAGCAATAAAATTATTATCTTCAAACACTAAGACGGTTAGGTGAGGTCGTGGTTTTCTATCCAGCTTTTCAGGTAAACTCAAATATTCACAATATATTTGACAGTACAATTTAATACTAAGTGAAAATAAGTACAATTCCTGACTGCTATGAATAGTACATAATTGCACTTATTTGTGCTGTTACATTTACCTCCCCATCTTTGGAGGACGGGCATGTTTACTTCAGTCCTGGACAATATTCAGGACTAAAATGCACTTTATTTATTTATTTATTTATATACAAGAAGGTACATTGGGTTTGTGAGAATACATAGCATAGTATTTACAATCTTGTAAAGCCACTAGTACGCGCAGCGTTTCGGGCAGGTCCTTAATCTAACAGATAATTTTAAGTAGGTAAATTCTAGCAGAATTAATAAAATGATAACAGATACATTGCAAGAAAAAAAAATAAAAAAATAACTTGCACTCTCGTTGGTCAGTTAGTAATTGTGGTGGCCTCACTGTTCCTCCAAAGGTTACGAGATAAGCGCAGCACCAAAGCAATCTTACACGTTTTATTTCGGTATGAAACGTCGTAATTTGAAACTGAAAATAGGTGCAGAGAGTCAGAATTCGGCTCAAAAATCACGCTCAGGAGTCAAATTTCCGACATTTCAGACATTTTAAAAACTGCAGGGGGGTTTGGGCAAAATATCGAACATAAGTAACTCTTACCCTACAGCCAGCCTCGTCCAGCAGGATGTCAGAAGTACCTCGCCCAAAGAATGCGCGGGGATATGCGACAGTCCAACCTCCTTCATAACCAAGACTTCTACACACAACCTGCAATGCAAGTATTAACTCACAAACAAACATAGCTCTCTCTGCAACACGATGTTAATATGAAACATAAATCTAACATTTTCTGTAATTCAATATATAATTTGCGAAAGCAATTTTAACATTTTACATCACAAATACTTTTTTGTCTCTTAGTAAATGTATAATATTAATAACATTGAGACCAGGACTCATCTATTTGTGCATACGGGTCTAAGCTTCAGTTCTTTGATTCTAGTCTTTCAACCTTCTTACAACTTGTGTATCTGGCCAAGAATCATATGCATCTAAACACTTATGTGTATACGAAACCTCTACATCTTTCTTCAATCATGGCGACTTAGTTTGTATTTATTAAACAGTTTATGAGCTCCGCAGCGCTGCGAGGTTGTTTATAACAATAATAACCTTGGCCCGAGAAGTTTACAATCTTGTAAACTGTTTAATAAATGAAAACAAAGCCGTGTATAGGAGAGTGAAGAGCCCTGACCCTCTGTTCATATTCCATTGGCCTCGATTATGTCCAGGACAATATTGTTGAGACGCCGGGAAAAAAATTCGTGCTGGAACAATGCTGTTGATTCTAGGACAATATTGTGCCAGAACAACATTATTGGGACTCAGTCCCAATGATGTATTGGGACTGAGTCCCCAGTCTCAATGTCCCATTAAGCTTCGGAGATTTGCATAAAAAACCTCAGTCTGGTATCATTTGAAAAAGAGAAAAGCAGAAGCTGAAGCAGGAAGAGCAGAAGACAAGGAGGAGGAGAAGCAGACACTGAAGCAGGAGGCCCAGAAGATGAAGCAATATGAGCAGAAGACGAAGCAGGAGGAGCCAGTACATTACCTTGGCATGGTTCTCGTCGAAGGCGTCGTCGCAGACGGTGCCCCAGCGGCCGAAGTGCTTGATGTAGACGGTGCCAGCCGTGGCGCCAACCAGCTTACTGCTGGAGGACGCCAGGCGCGTCACACCCACGTCGTCACACAGGCTCGGCGCCTCGTCACTATGGAAGGAAGTGTGTCAACCCTTCATTGCCAAAATTTGTCACACTAAACAGATGCATTGTCAACATCATCTCAAGATGTATTTGATGCCATGAATACCATTTACAGTGTGGAGGAAAGGGCTGAATTCATCGTCTAGTAACCCCCTAATGACTTATTCACACGTTCCCTAAATCCACACATCTCACCAGCCATAAAAAAACACACAGTTTTACAGCTCTAAATCTCACCAGCCTTAAAACCACACATCTTACCTGCCATCAAAGCAGTCCTTGGTTTCGTCACATACTTGAGTCCTGTGGACGCAGGTGTGGAGTCTGGGAGTACCACACTGAAACTGATCCTCGTTGCAGAGTGATGTCACTGTCCGACAGGTCACGCCAGCTATCTAAGACATCATTACATCATTATTGGGTATCTGGGTGACCATGCGAGGTGGTGAGGATACATGGGAATGGGCGAGGAAGGAAGCAAGTGGATGAGTTAGTGTGTGTAATCAGTTAAGAGTTCAAGCAACATCTGCACCGATTCAACAAGCATTTACACATCTACTTAGGAACTCGTATATCTTTTCACACTCTTTGACAGCTTTGTTTACATTTATCAATCGGTTTATGAGCATCGAAATTTTCAAGTCAAATGTTAATATTGTTATAGGAAGCACTAGAACAGTCTCCTAGTGCTTATAAGTATAAATATAAACTATTTAATATATGTGAATAAAGCCGCCAAAGATTGAGAAAAGATATGATGACCAAACTAGAAGATGAAGAAATGACGACGTTTCGGTCCATCCTGGACCATTATCAAGTGGTTTGTCACCTTGAGAAAAGATGTACAGGTTCGTAAGAATATCATTATTGAATCTTGACCTCTGTTTCTTACCTCCGTAGGACCACAGTCATGTACACCAAGGCCGCTGGAAGGACAGTCCAGGAGTGAGGTCTCGCTTCCAGTACACGCTAACTTATCTAACCAGAACTTGGGACTGCTGCGTCGCCATTCTGGAAAGGAGAGAACTTAATATGGTACATACTGCTGACTTGGAGATGTAACTCATGACTGATACCGTGTTTACTGCTAACTTAGAGGTGTGACTCCTAACTGATACTGTATTTTCTGCTCACTTGGAGGTGTGACTTATAACTGATACCTTGTTTACTGCTGACTTGGACGTGTGACTCATAACTGATTCTGTGTTTACTGTTCACTTGGATGTTGTTGTTGTTAAAGATTCGCTACCTGGAACAGAGTTCCAAGTAGCACGGGCTATGGTGAGCCTGTAGTGCCTTGTTCACTTGGAGATGTGACTCAACGGATACTGTGTTTGCTGCTGACTTGGAGATGAATCACAACTAATACCGTGTTTACTGCTGACTTGGAGGTGTGACTCATAGCTGAAACCTTGCATACTGTTCAGTTGGAGAAGTGCCTTACATCTGTTACCATACACACTACTGACTTCAAGGTGTGACTTACAACGGGATCTGCCCTTCTAAATAATATATCGCATTTTGACGTTAAAATCTCAATTAGACAAAATGTGTTGTACTATAAGGGTTAGGTTTGGATGTTTAAGTACACCATTTTAAATGGTTTATCTACATACTGCATATATCAACAAAGGTGAAATGTCCTTCCGTGCAGCCGTCAAACCTCGTCCATAAATGATAAACAATTTAACACGACTCATAACTGATGACGTTAGAACAATTCTCGAACAGTGCTTCGCTGACAACCTCTGTTCGAAACAATATTCTGTAAATGCTTCACTCACGTCTATTTGTGGATGAAGTGTCACTACAAATACAAATAAGTGCCAACAGAACTTAAACATCCAACGTATAATATGCCTAAATATGCACAAAATGTTTAATTATATTTGAGAACTGGCCTATTTTGAATATATAACATGTTAAAATTTATGAATGTGTCGTTGTGGTCGACCGCTGCATGGAATGAACCTAACCTGAGGACGGGTTGAAAAATCAGTAATTTAAATAAAACCGAAACACCTAACCTAAGTTGAGCCTACCAAAACAACACATTTTTTGCATACAATTCTAACAATTTACAACTGAAAAAAAACAAATATGAGTGCATGGCATGTTTAAACTGATGTATGTATTTTCAGTGTTTATGAGGACGAGGTGTTATGACAATGGGCTGTTATGAAGACGAGTTGTGTTTATGAGGACGAACTGATATGAAGGCGTACTTACTGGAGTCACTCTTCCCAAAGTGGTTGTTGCGAGTGAAGGCCTGGGCCGAGGAGTACCCGAGGCTTCGACACACCAGGTCCGCCTCCTCGAACCCGAACCCGTCGTCACACACATATCCCCATTCATCGTCCACCTTGACCTGAGAGTTAATACATTAGGTCACAACGGGTATAATGCACCAGGGATATGATTACACCGAGAGGTGAATACAACCACTTAGTGGTGCATATACACAGTTTACTGTAATACTGGACAATGTTCAGAACTAAAGTATACTTCCTGGTTGTTCAGCAGCTGTTGCTATAGTCTTAATAACTTCTGGAGGGTTGTTAAATTCACCGAACGTCATTAAATTCACTATTATATACTCCCTTCCATATTATACATACATATACAGTAAAGTTATATTATTTATAATACTATCGGGCTGGTCAACACACGTCTAATTCTAATTAATCCTTTCATCAGAAACAAAAATTTAATTATTAATTAAAATAGTAATCATAACTTGTATGATAATAACAGTGACAAGAGTACTGAACAATAATATACCATACATGTAATTAAAATTTTGAGGAGTGTGCAGATATACAGTTTATAAATATCATTACTTTTCATATCTTTCTCCTAGCTGCTTTCAGCTGAATATTTAACTACTGTCATCTATGGCTGCCTGTGACTGCCTACACCTGAATATATCCCTGGTGGCCCTCATGTTCGCCTTACCTGAATATTCCCCTGGTGGCCCCCCTGGCCACCCACCAGCCGCAGTTCATGCTTGCGGCTCTGACCGCACTGCGACTCATCCGTGTTGTCGCCGCAGTTATCCAAGCCGTCGCAGACCTTCTCCCTGCCGACGCATCGTTCGTTGCCGCAGATAAACCGTAGGCCGCACGTGGTCCGGCGCGCCCGCAGCTCGTAGAACTCCTCTTGAGCCGAAGTCACCAGCCCAGAGGTGGCCACGTCGCTCGCGCTCAAGAAGCACCTGTGACGAGGGCCGATTACGTTACTTGATTGGTTGATTGGAACATTGGGTAGTTATTGGGTTTTGTAGATTGGTAGAGCGGTTAGTGAGATTGCTTAGATGACTGATTGGAAAGGTAGTATATGTATGCGTTGCCGCGCTTGCTCAAGACAATTCTTATGACTTATTGCTTATAGTCAATATTTGGCTTATTAATAAGTATATATATGGTATATTCTAGGTTATATTATTTTTTAGTCACTAACTCTTCCTCCCAGTTTGGCAAACATCAGTTTTAAATATTAGGAATTTATTTTTAAGTTCTATTAAACAATAGAGATTTTATACAAAATTTGTCAGTATCCTTAGTTAATTTAAAATTTGTTTAAATATTTTAGTTTTATTTTATTAGTTTTATAAAACTGTAATATCAATATAGGTATATAGGTTAAGTACTAATTGTAATTAAGAAGCAATAAAATGCTTATCTTAACATACTAAGAAGGTTAGGTCGGTGTTTCTATTTAGCTTTTCAAAGTAAACTCAAATATTCACAATAAATTTGCATGTCACATATGCACTTATTTATAAGCCAAATATTGACTATAAGCAAATGCGAGAACGGGTTGCTACCTTTACCTTACAGTTGGTTGAAGAAAACTTAATGGGAGGTCTGTATTCAGTGTTGATTATATGATTTGGGTGATTACGGCTTTAGCCTAGTAAGCCCCAGGGCTCAAATACACCCCCGCTAGCAGCCTAGTAAGCCCCAGGGCTCAAATACACCCCGGCTAGCAGCCCAGTAAGCCCCAGGGCTCAAATACACCCCGGTTAGTAGCCCGGTAGGCCCCAGGGCTAAAATACACCCCCCACAAGCAGCCCAGTAAGCCCCAGGGCTCAAATACACCCCCGCTAGCAGCCCGGTAAGCCCCAGGGCTCAAATACACCCCCGCTAGCAGCCCGGTAAGCCCCAGGGCTCAAATACACCCCCGCTAGCAGCCCGGCAAGCCCCAGGGCTCAAATACACCCCCGCTAGCAGCCCGGTAAGCCCCAGGGCTCAAATACACCCCCGCTAGCAGCCCGGTAAGCCCCAGGGCTCAAATACACCCCCGCTAGCAGCCCGGTAATCCCCAGGGCTCAAATACACCCCCGCTAGCAGCCCGGTAAGCCCCAGGGCTCAAATACACCCCCGCTAGCAGCCCGGTAAGCCCCAGGGCTCAAATACACCCCCGCTAGCAGCCCGGTAAACCCCAGGGCTCAAATACACCCCCGCTAGCAGCCCGGTAAGCCCCAGGGCTCAAATACACCCCCGCTAGCAGCCCGGTAAACCCCAGGGCTCAAATACACCCCCGCTAGCAGCCCGGTAAACCCCAGGGCTCAAATACACCCCCGCTAGCAGCCCGGTAAGCCCCAGGGCTCAAATACACCCCCGCTAGCAGCCCGGTAAGCCCCAGGGCTCCAATACTCACTCTTTGGAGACCTGGTCGTATATGAAGCCCCGACAGAGCGTGTCATCAAGACAACGCTTGGCGCAGACGCCGACGTCTGCCCTGGTGAGCGTCTTGAGGACCTGACGATCCAGTAGGGTCTTTCTCCGCCGCACTTCGAAGCCCTGAAAGAGGAGGAGAACCTTAAGTTAGTCTATGATCTAAGACGGTCTAGTTGCTTGGCTGCAGGAGATTGTGGTGGTGAGGACACTACACACCTGCAAGAACCATTAACACAGGACCCCCCCACTCCCCCCCTTACACACCTGCAAGAACCGTTTACACAGGATCCCTACACACCTGCAAGAACCGTTTACACAGGACCCCTACACACCTGCAAGAACCGTTTACACCCCCTACACACCTGCAAGAACCGTTTACACAGGACCCCCCTACACACCTGCAAGAACCGTTTACACAGGACCCCTACACACCTGCAAGAACCGTTTACACAGGACCCCTACACACCTGCAAGAACCGTTTACACAGGACCCCTACACACCTGCAAGAACCGTTTACACAGGACCCCTACACACCTGCAAGAACCGTTTACACAGGACCCCTACACACCTGCAAGAACCGTTTACACAGGTGTTCGTCGTCTCCGCGAGGACAGTGCCGCTCCCCGTCACACACCAGCTTCTGGTCCAGACAGGTGTCGCCGCTCTCGCAGGTGTGGTCTTCCGCCCTGCACCGGACCTGCCGCCAGGAGAGAGTAGACAGAGTGAGAGATGCTCCTGGGTAGACATTGGAGCAGTTCGATGGGATCGAACTCTCGTTTCTGGAGCTCCTCAGCCACATGTTCAACGCCATTTGAATGTTGGCTTGGATGGTCCTTTGTTACTGGTGTATGATACCTGTTTGGCACGCGTATAGTACCTGTATGGTACATATATGGTATTTTTATACCATATATGTATATGGTATACGGGGTAACTAATGTTAAATATCTTGCCTGAGAAATCTGATGGGTTCAAATGTATACTATCTAGTTACCAAAGTCATGGGACTAGTATACATGAATAGGCCTCTAGTATACTCCTCTGTCTACCTGGTGTAATTCATGAGTATACATAAATAGGCCTACCCTCTGCCTTCAAAACATTGGCATACAATTGAAAATGTTAATTAGGAACTCTGCAGCTCAGTAAACCTTTTCTAGGGAACTCAAAAGCTTCATTTTCCTGAAAAACTGTACCTTAGCAGCAGTGGTGGTAGTTGAGGTAGTGGTGGTGGTGGTGGTGGTGGCTTTAGTGGTGGTGGTGGTAGCGGTGGTGGTGGTGGTGGTGGCGGGCGTGGTGGTGAAGATGAAGGGGTTTGGGGTTGTGGTGAAGGTTGCTTGAAGAGGTCGAAGCAGGGTCGAAGTTCGAACCGGTGCCCCTGTCGAGGAGATTAGTACAGTCCATTCATACATTACACCTAAAAGGCAGGTTAATACATTTTTGTAGATTAATACATTACACCCTACAAGGCAGGGATTCTGAGGCAACGCTCGACCCTACAAGCGCATCCTGGTGAGTACACTCATTCACCCACTCAGGAAAGTACAAAGTAATGAAATTAGGCGAAGGGAGCAGGAGGCTGAACACAAGGTACCAAAGGATGGACAAAGATGAACTATTCAACACTGGTGGGACACGAACAAGAGGACACAGGTGGAAACTGAGTACCCACATGAGCCACAGAGACGTTAGAAAGAATTGTTTCAGTGTCAGAGTAGTTAACAGATGGAATGCATTAGGCAGTGATGTGGTGGAAGCAAACTTCATACACAGTTTCAAATATAGATATGATAGAGCCCAATAGGCTCAGGAACCTGTACACCAGTTGCGTTACGGTTGAGAAGCGGGACCAAAGAGCCAAAGCTCAACCCCCGCAAGCACAACTAGGTGAGTACATACAACAATGCATACGTAAGGTCTCGGTAGCCCAGTGGGCGGCGTCGGCAGCCGACAACAATGTACCCCGGGTTCAATCTCTTCCCCTTCTTGTTCTTCAACCCCTGCCCTGCCTTAACCAACTTGGAACCTTAATAGGAAATGCTATAGACATCGTAACCTTGAGAAGTCTCCATCTTCTGAAGATGGAGCTTGGCAAATTAATGCCAATGGTATATCTAACAAAGCCTATGAGCTGAAAGTTTGATCCTACATGGCAGACCCTGTTGTTCATAACTATGTCAGAGACAAAACTTTTAGATGATTACTGATGCAGTGTTTCTCCCAGACTCACAGATTACCATACAAAAATGAAAACAGATGAACAAAGACCAAACCACACACATTAGAAGATGGAGAATCGACGACGTTTTTATTCCGTAAATGGACCATTATCAAATCCCATATGACTTGATAATGGTCCTTGACGGACCGAAACGTCGTCGTTTGAACAAATCCACAAGGGCCGTGACGAGGATTCGAACCTGCGTCCGGGAGCATCCAAGACACAGCCTTAATCGAGTGAGCTACGACAGGGTTAAAAGGGTTGTGTAACGTCGTCGTGTCTCTATCTTCCGATGTGTAGGTTGGTCATCATATTTTCATCAGCCACGTCATCGTCTGCAGAAGAACGAGGGCGCATAGCACTGCTGGTCAAGTGACAGTGGAAGTCGGAAGATTTCTTAGTTACAAACCCAGATGTAAGTGAATACGGTGCCTTAGGAATCATGAGGGCAAGTAGAATATTCCTCCAAGGAGTGCCGGACCAACCGGGCTGTGGTGGGTATGTGGACCTGCGGGCCGCTCCAAGCAACAGTCTGGTGGACCAAACTCTCACAAGTCAAGCCTGGCCTCGGGCCGGGCTTGGGGAGTAGAAGAACTCCCAGAACCCCATCAACCAGGTATCAACCAGGTAACCAGATACTAAGTATAGTGTTAGCAGATGTATCCAACCTATAGTGCATAACTGGCCAACCTCTCGCAGTTCAAAAGAGAACTCGACAAGCAACTTCAAAGGATGCCTGAGCAGCCAGGGCTGTGACTCGTACGTCAGCCTGTTAGCAGCTATATTGAATAGCCTGGTTGATCAGACCAGTAGCCCTGGTCAGAGACCGGGCCGGGGGGATACTAATCCTCGGAATCTTCAGCAGATGATCAACCTACCTGCAGATACCAGAAGGTACAGGGAGGAACATAGAGAGAGAACAGTATAGCAGTAATAACCAGGATACAACGAGGAAACAACAGCTCACAGAATAAGAGCAAAACCATTAATCATTGGAAATTTCAGTCACTGGAGACAAGACACCTATTTCAATGCACTATTACATGAAGAGAAAAGTTTATAGAGACCGCAGAAGCAAACATCCTTAAACATTTTAAAGAGGAAATGCAGGCAAGAGATGACAAACCAACTTAAGTCTTCAAGAATGAGGCAGAGGTTGAGAATACATAAACATAAAACTAATGATATATATATATTGTGTAAGCTCCTCCTGCTTCCACCATAATATAAAAGATATAATTAAAAACGCTAAGGTTCCATGCACTATTGAAATAAAAGGTATATTATGGGAACATTACCCGAAGCAAATTTGAAAGCAACAATGGCATATAGAAAGCATGCAAGCAAGAACTGGAGACTTAAAATATAATCCAGATATTGCATATAAGAAACTAATTAAAAAAAAGTCAACTAATATTAGATTTTAAAAATAAAGCGAAGTTTTAAATTGCAAGTTAACTGTTTACTATATTATTTACAATTTGAGATATGGATTAAATTAATTGGGCAGTGACAAGCAATTATCAGAAACTTGTTAGGTACAAAAGCAACTCTTTTAGTCAGTTTTTAAATAATTATTTATCTTAGTTGTTCCTTTGTTAAAAGAAAACAACTCAAAATACTCTAAGCTGAAAATTAATAGATAAAATCTGAGATGAAATAAATATTTCATGTTTTTAAATAAATTATATGTATTTTAAAAATATGAAATGTATTTAATATCTCTCAATTATAATTTAATTTGATATAAGTTTTATGAGATATATCTTATATATGACTTATATATCTATTAATAACTTCACAGCATTGAGAACATACAATATAAATTATGAAGGGCCAATAATTTGAGCATATTAGGATTATAAAATATAATACCACACTTAAATGTTCATTGAGTTTTCTTTAATTCTGGATTATATTTAGAACTTAAGTACATTATTGATACTTAATAAATAAATAAGATGGCCTAACTAATCCTCTAGTCGTTAATACGCCTTAATTATCAGCAAATTAAACTAATATATGCAAATTAACTGCATAACTGGCTATCAATGTGGCTATTACACACTGTATCCACTACACCATACTTCAGAGCCCTAAAGAGGTAGCCAGTGTTCGAGTCCCCTGGTGGGTTGAGTGTCTAAAAGTTATATACTTCAAACTTGTAGTTTAAATATATATATATATATATATATATATATATATATATATATATATATATATATATATATATATATATATATATATATATATATTAGTCCTAGGAATTTTTAAGTTTGGTTTTTAACTGAATTTTTTCCCTCTCTATAAAGCAAAATAGTACTTCTACTATTTATCTGTTTCTAATTAATACTTCTATGTAACTACTTCTATTAATACTTCTACTATGTAATTATCCATTACGTCAATACACTTATGATGGTCGACATAGTTACAAAAAAGTAGTATCTAAACCTGAGGATGTTAGGCAGTGTTATTAATGCTCTTCCTTAAGGGACCCTTATGGCCGGTGATGTAAAGTAACCAGCTCATCGTTCCCAAACATATTGGTTCCAATTCCGCCCAACTCTCCTGTTCTATCCCTAGCCTTGTGGACATTTGTGTCGTCCACTGTTATTATGCAACTCTTAAGTCATTCTGCATCCCCCACTATTGTGTATGCACACAGAAATGGGCTACACTGTATATACAGTACACAGGAACGGCCTACACTGTGAATATACACAGAAATTGGCCACACATTGAATATACAGTGATAATTGCCTACAATCTGCGAATATACGCCGAGAAATTATATATGCATCTTGGTGTGTATGCCAACCATCGCAGTCATCTCCAAAAGTTGGTATTTTTCTTTCATACTTTAGTCCGCCCTGTGCAATGCCAACGCCATATAGCGTATTTACCGGGAGAAGGAGACACAGAGAGGTCCTCAGTGCAGGCAAGGACGTCGCACGCTTCCGCCGTGGTACCATCCACAAAGCACCAGGGCCTCTGGGCTCCGTCAGGATTCCTACAGTAGTTGTGAGCGCCGATGAGCGCCAGGTTGAAGTTGCGGGCTCTAGAGGAGGAGGAACGGGCCTCGTCCAGGGAATTGATCTTCGGGTCGGTCCACAGCAGGCATGTCCGGCCAGAGATGGTGAGATCGGCTCGTCCGGAATAGGTCGTTCCGTCTCCCTCGTAACAGCCTATTGGTGGTGAAGCTAGACGGTGTGGACCACATTGGTGTGTACATAGCTACCACAGGGTAGTTAGAGTCAACTATTTAACGATAGGGGGATAGTTAAAATGTAAGATAGAATGATTATATATAACACTTGGAAGGGATATGAGACAGACTAACAGCTGGACTATTATAAGTACTGTAATTGCATTAGAGATAATTTGTGAAAATAATGCACATATTTACTAGTTAGGATACAATTGATACCAAAGAATTAAAGCTAAATTATTAATGACGATTGATTGAAGTAGGCCTAGACAGTTTACTGTGACAGTTCATACCAAAGTTAAATTGACACAATGCCTCTAAGCATTAATTAACATAATCCTACGGTATTTAACCTGTTAACTATACTATTTTAATATGTTTGAAAATACTGAATTACAGTAACTTGGTCTTGTAGTGGTGGTTGTGGAGGTGTTGGTACAGGTTATGGTGGTGTTGGTAGTGCTTGTGGTTAACCAGTTGACCAATACCACCACCTTAACCGGTGTAATTAAGCTCCATTACAACTTAACTATTCTGACGTTCAAATTCTTTCTCGAATCTGGCCTTAAAATTGTGGATGGAGGCGGCTTCCACAACTTTATGTTGAACTCCCAGGGTGGTGATACTGGTACTGGTGGATGATGTTGTGGTGGTAGTTGTGGTTAATGTTCTTGTGGTGGTGGTTGATGTGGTAGTGGTGGTGATACTGGTGGTTGATGTGGTGGTGGTGCTTGTGGTAGTAGGTGGGGGGGGGGGGGTAGCAGTAACTGTAGTAGTTTAAATTGCACTAAACCAAGCGGTAGAATAGTAATAGTACTAGCATCAGTATTAGTATCGATAGTATTAATAATTCCCGTTGTTGGGGACAAGAAACCTTTTGAATACATATATACTTCAGGCTTATATCGAGACCCTCCCCTGGTTGTAGCCCTAAAACAGATAACTAACTCCCGAAAACACTTATTTACTGCTTGGTAAACAGAGGCATTAAGTGAGAAAAAGCGTGCCCAATTGTCTCTACCCTGCTCGGGATTCAAATCCAAATTCCTCGACTGAGTGTCGAGAAAGAACGAAGCCAACTGTGCTACGAGACCCTCAAACTGTTAAGTTGTACTTGAAGTAGTTAGCAATATAACAATAATATTATCCTTCATTAAGTGTTGTTATTTCACAAAGTTTTGCTAGATAAATGAATCCTTCAAATGTTAAACTATGTAAAATCACTCTGAAATATATACCTGACGCGTTAGTAAACATGTAAACAAACTCCTAGACAGATGTTAACATATTCGATATGTCAAAAAAAGAGGTTTCAATTATTAGTTTTTAAAACTGGTTTTAATTGGTATCGGTACGACAACTGCAGGAGTCCAAGCACCATTATCTAACATTACCTCACTATCAGACGTACGACTAAGGCACATCTTACAGTTTACGAATCAAAATAAATTTGTCGAAACATTTGATTTCCTCACGAAGATGGGAAATAGATGTTTAAATTTTAAAGAGAAAAATTTAGATATATCGTTGATGATTTATTGGCAATAAATTGAGATTTGGGCGTCGACACAACCTTCCGGAACAACAGAAAACGGAACAGGAAGAAGGTACCGGATGGCAGCTCTGGAAGGATGCCACTGGAAAACATGTCGTACTTGAACTATTTAAAAATTGAAATATTCTCAATAAAATAATTTTGAACTTATGATGAATTTTATAATACAGTAGGACGTAATTTTGATATAGAATTTCTACCCTGAAGATTCAAAATTGATGGAGGAAATATGGACGAACTTTTGAAATGCTCGATTATCCATATACCCAGAAACAATTGAAAATATACAGGTCTTACGTATATCACAATATTTTTATAATTATCATATTATATTACGTCAAATGCTTATGTACCAAGTCATTAGCTGGATGGGTGACCGCTCGGACAGCCTTTGAATACCTAGACAAAGCGATGATATCTTAAATATTTATAAAGAAAACTGGTATGGCAAGTTTTCAGGGATAACCATAAGAAAAGGAAAGTCATTAACTCAAACTGAAAATCGTGTTTGACTCGCAAGGTAAAACAGAACATTAAAATAATGAAAGAATTTTCTCAGGGACAAACAAACGGAAGATGACGTCACGGAGAAGCAAATGTTAAGTGACGTCACGGAGAAGCAGACAGGAAATGACGTCACCAATGTCAACAACATCGCGTCCTGATCCAAGATGGCCGATCCTCACTCATTTGAGTTTGGGTAATTATTATTATCATTACTCTTATTATTATTATTATTATTATTATTATTATTATTATTATTTATATATACCTGAGTTGTTACATGGTTGTAAAGCCACCAGCAGGCATAGCGTTTCGGGCAGGTCCTTAATCCTAAATTTTCCCCGGAATACGACCAGCCAAATCGCTTAACAACCAAGTACACATTTTACTGTTGGGTAAACAGAGGTTACAGTTAAGGATTGGCGCCCAGTCAATCCTCCCCAGCTAGGATACGAACTCAGGACAAAGCGCTCACGAAACGCCAGGCGAGCGCCTTACCACTTCGCCGCGGGTACCATAACCCTGTGGCGTAGTTTCGTATAACATTTGAGTATACAGTAGCATTCCAAGGCCATATTCAACCTACGTGGGACGTACTCTTGATTATGCAGCCCTACCAATGAAGCTAAAGGTTATGCTGTAGGGTTCACATCTAAACTGGTGGGACTGAGGATAGGACGAGGACGAGGACGAGGATAGGCTACAATAACTGTATCACATAGGGACATCAGAAAATCTGAGTGGACATGATCCCGATATACACATTTCTCAGCGGCAGAACGGTAACAAAGATTGACAGACATTCAAAAGATTCATCAAAACATTTACCCAAACACCTACGAAACCTATACATCTTTCTTCAATAATGACATCCATTAAACAATTGATGAGCTCCGAAGCGACATATAAGGTTCTTTATAACAATAATATCCTTAAGTTGTACATATTAGCTCGTAAACTGCTTAATAAATGAATACAAAGCCGCCATAATTAAGGAAAGATGTACAGGTTTCGTATATGTTCAACAAGTCCTGGATCAAGGAACACAGTTGCTGAGACGAGCCAAAGGAACAGAAGGAAGTCCTTACGTTCCTTGTAGTGAGGTCCTCACTGCCCCGGCCGCTCCCAAATGAACCAATCGATGTTAATGAAATGACGGGTCCAGGAGCTCAAGCCCTACCCTGTCAAAGGCGGCCAGGTAAGCACGCACACACACACTCATCACCCACTCCTCATCTGCATGCAAAAGAAGACTCTCCGAGTCAACAAAAGCCCAACCACATAAGGCAATAAGGCTGAAGTAAGCGTAGACCCGCGTTGAATATTTAGCTCCAACAAACAAGGGCGTATGTACCGAGAACAATTTTGACCTTGAACGAGGTTACAACTGTGTTGACCCTTACTGGTCGCTGGCAGGTTTACCGGGCTGACGAAGGGAGGGGGATTGGGACGGATAAAGACGGGTTAGATTAGGGAGGGATTAGGGTAGAGTAAAAGCTGGATAAGGGTAGGGTTGTAAATAGAAGCCACACGCCTTTAAGGAACCGGGTGGGTACACTTAGCAAGATGCAGACAAGCAGGTAATTAAGTTCAGAGCAACAAAGAAAAACCATAAACAATATCCATGATATAAGACATCATTGACCTATAAAACATGGTAATTGTTTAAATTATTTGCAACAAGATTATTACCCAACAAAAGGACAATGAGAAGAGTTCCCATAACAAACTAACACGTTGATAACAAGGTCCTCATTGGGTCCACTACCGCCCACAAGATGAGTCAGGGAGACTAGTACCACCGCTGGCCACAGTACCTGGAATATACCCCGGGAAAATTCCCTGGTGGACTGATGACCTCACTCTAGACACCCTTGTGGTAATGATGACCCGAGGGTACACTCTTTGTCTGTCTGCCTGTCTCTCTGTCTCTGTCTCTCTCTGTCTCTCTCTGTCTCTCTCTCTCTCTCTCTCTCTCTCTCTCTCTCTCTCTCTCTCTCTCTCTCTCTCTCTCTCTCTCTCTCTCTCTCTCTCTCTCTCTCTCTCTCTCTCTCTCTCTCTCTCTCTCTCTCTCTCTCCGGCCGAGCGGACAGCACACTGGACTTGTGATCCTGTCGTCCTGGGTTTGATCCCAGGCGCCGGCGAGAAACAATGGGCAGAGTTTCTTTCACCCTATGCCCCTGTTACCTAGCAGTAAAATAGGTACCTGGGTGTTAGTCAGCTGTCACGGGCTGCTTCCTGGGGGGTGGAGGCCTGGTCGAGGACCGGGCCGCGGGGACACTAAAGCCCCGAAATCTTCTCAAGATATAACCTCAAAGAACGTGTAAATCCCCCATTAAACCCTAACATATTCGTCTGAAGCCATTCTGCTATCTATAGACTATAAATAGTAGAAAGACTATATCAAATTTAAATTGGTTAAGGTGTCATGGGACCCAATTTTTGGATGTACAAAGCAAATTCTGCTGTCGGTTCACAGTCTAAAGTGTCACAGGTTCGATTCCCACTACGGAACTGAGGCGTTTGGGAAGCGTTTCCGTTATATATGATGTCTCAGTTCACCTTAAGGCACTAGAGGAATATAAGAATAAAGGTAATTGCAGAAGGCTTGTATTGGTCCATATGAGGCAGCTGCTATTGGTCCATACGGGGCAGCTCCTATTGGTCCATACGAGGCAGCTGCTATTGGTCCATACGAGGCAGCTGCTATTGGTCCATACGAGGCAGCTCCTATTGGTCCATATGAGGTAGCTCCTATTGGTCCATATGAGGCAGCTCCTATTGGTCCATATGAGGCAGCTGCTATTGGTCCATATGAGGCAGCTGCTATTGGTCCATACGAGACAGCTCCTATTGGTCCATACGAGGCAGCTGCTATTGGTCCATATGAGGCAGCTGCTATTGGTCCATATAAGGCA